TAAGGCTCACCTGATGGTAAGTGATTATCGCCGCCCATGAGCAACTGCAACACCAGGGGAATTGCAGATGCGTTGGCGGCCTTTTAAAAAGTAGTAGGCTCTTTTCTTGAAGGTCCCTAGGTCGTATCGATCCGGAAAATCTTTGGTGGTAGTCGACTCCACAAGGAAGTTGTGCGAGGTAGAAAACTTCTTTTAAATCGCACGGTGGTGGATCGCCAGTCATCCAGATGGTATGTATGATATCATGAGTTTTGTCGCGATGTGCGATGGTGAAATTGTGAAGCTGAAATTAGTCCGAATAAATCCTCAGAGCACTTCCCGTAGTACATACATACATACATACATACATAAACACTCACGCCTGTCGCCCAGAGGGGTAGGCAGAGACTACAGACTTCCATTTGGCACGATCCTGACACACCTCTCTCGCCTCCTTCACATCCATACACCTACGCATACATGCTCGTCGGTCAAGGGTACTCCTAATTTGGCCCATTTCCAATAAATCGCCAATTTGGTCGATACATTTTCGCCTAGGACGTCCCTTTCCGACTCAGCCATTCACTTCTGCAACATAAATTTTCTTTGTTACTCTTTCCTCATTCATTCTTTCCACATGACCAAACCACCGAAGCATTCCTTTCTTAATCCTGGTCACAACATCATCTTGCAAACCACACTCTTCTCTTATTACACAATTTCTTACCCTGTCGTTCAGATTCAGCCCTAACATACTCCTTAACGACCGCATTTCTACTGCGTTGATTCTAATCTCGTGCTTCTTCTGCCACACCCAACTTTCACTACCATACGTTAAAGTAGGGACCAACACAGCATTGTGAATTGCCATACGTGCCTTTTTTGACACATTTTGACTCTTCACAATATAGTGCAGGGCCCCATTTACTCTATTTCCCGCATTCACTCGTCGTTCTATATCCTTATCATATCTCCCATCCCTGCTAAATACGCAGCCCAAATATACAAACTCATCTACTTGCTCGATCAACTCCCCTTCTATTCTTATTTTACAAATCGTTTTACTTTCTTCTCTTTCAAAAACCATAACCTTCGTCTTACTTGCGTTCACTTTCATACCCCTTTCTTTTAATGATCTGTTCATTAATAGAGTAACCATAATTTGCAACTCGGCCGCCGACGACGCAAGGATAACTAACTAACTTCCCGTAGTAGATGCGATAAAATACGCCAAGAGATGCAACATTTCTTCGCTGTGCCAGTGAGTCAAGCTGATCAGAAAGAGCTCGGTCGCCGACGATTCGAACAGCTCTGCGCTGGATGCGTTCAAATGGAAGGAGCTGGCACTGGGGAGCCCCGGACCAGAGATGTGAATAGTATTCCATGTCGTCTTGTAAAGTTGCAGGCGGTGAGTCGGCATGAAATACTGTCCCGCTCTGCTGAGCACGCCAAGCTTTTTAGAGGTCAATTTGGCCTTCTCTTCCAAGTGACCACGAAATTGCACATCACTCGATATGTCGACTCCGAGGATTCCAATACTGGCTGAGGCAACAAGGGGTTTTTTAGCGGTAAACGCGCAAACTTGTGTCTTCTGAGGATTAAACTGGACTAGATTTAGCCGCCCCCAGTCCGAGACTTTGTTCAACAAAGTTTCGACTTCAGACACAAGTTTGTCCCGGTACTCTGCGACGTTTTCCCGAGAAATATTGGCACGGCTGGTGTATAAAGCATCACTAGTTCTGTCGTTTGCATAACAATGAATGTTACCGGTTTGCAACATGTCATTTATAAGCAGAAGAAACAGCGTCGGTGATAGCACGCAACCTTGTGGAACACCAGCGTTAATGGGCTTGTAATCAGAGCATGCACCGTCTACTGCGACCTTGATGCTCCGATCAGCAAGAAAACAGCATGAGCTGGTTGTTAATAATGAATCCATTATTTTAGAGAACAAGGAGGTGATGGCGATAGGCCTATAGTTGGACGGATCAGAGCAGTTACCTTTTTTAGGGATCGAGTGTACATTACAAGGGCTGTCTTCCCTGATTTCGGCGTTCGGCACCCCCCTTCCGCTCGGAATCTTGAAGAGACCAGACGTGTAATTGGTTAAGTTTATGCAGTTTATTTAATATTAACAACAAAGGACAAAATCTAATAAATAAATAGGAGTGCATAAAATTGAAGAATTGTTCAAATACTCTCAACAGTCTTCGATACAGAGTTAAGATTGCTATGCAGCTACGTGAGTAAAACCTTTATTATTGAAGTATATTATTTTTGCAAATTAATAATTCAAGCGAGAAAGAATCGGCTAATCACACCGCCATTGTATAAAATAGAGATAGCACATTGAGCTATTACGAACTACGTACTAGAGGCGACACTGCATTCAACTATTCTGTTCCACTCAACTGCGGTGCATACACCGCACTTTAATCAGTCGCTCACTAGGCGCTTGTAGAGTTGTCACGTGTTGTATTGATTTAAAAAAATCTCTTGATAAAAATATACCATCGTGTGTACTTGGATATTTTACAAATAATTCAAGAAATGTCAGTAAAAAGTAAAAACCAAGGAATTACTTTTCATCGATTAATAAGATACTTAATAAATAAAAAAGTATTATAGATTAATAATAAAACAAATCACTCCTAAGACGCCATCTCGTGTCACGGAATATAGATTATGAAATTAATATGTTCAGATACGTCATTTCTGTGGGTACTTAAGTACGAGTATAGGACGAATATATTGTTATACACTTTTTTTGTATCTTTTGTTTATATCTGCTTATTATTTTATTTTTAGGTTTCCACATCAAAGTCAAAGTGGAATATATTCGTCCATTTTTAAATCTCGCGTGCCCAGCATTTACGAATGACTCTTATTCTAATTTAAATAAATTTATTTGTAATTTAAATGTTATGTTAATAAGTTTTGTTAAACATACATTTGTATGTTTTTTATATTTGACATAGATAACTTTTAAAATATTCAGATAAAAATATCATTAAAATGTAATTGTGATATAATATTATGTAATATTACATTAAATAAGCAAATATAATATACAAAATAAATGACAAAATTTAAATAATGTCCTCGATATAATTTACCTATTTAACATTATAATCTACTATTATCTACGGATCATTCTACTATGTTTATTCTATATTTATATATTTAAATTTATATATTTATATATTCTATATTTATTCTATGATAAAAAAACCAACCGCGCGAACACAGAGTAGCGCACATTTTTTGTTTGAGATAGCTGTTCTAGTACGTAAGTACATATTACTTCAATGAGATAGCATAAATTAATATTGCATGCATAGGATAAGAGATCAACTTATATTAGACGTTAAGGCATTTTGTATAAGAATAGTCGATCGACGACCAGTTGCTTGACCTGTAAGCAAATATTAACGAAACAGTGGAACTTGCAATACATAACACCTGATTGTTTATATTGCCCTGATACTTTATAATGCCACTATAGCTGGGAACAAATTATAGCTGACAGACGCGGTTTAGCGGTGTGCACGGCAGCTGAGATGGCGTCCTCGGACGCCTCGCTTCGGTCATTCCAGAAAGGTTTGTCAATCGAGAAATATGACAAACAGTGACAGCGAGGACAAATTTATAAAGTTAGCGGCAGCTGCTTTACGAGTATGTCGTCCTCAGAAAAAAGGGGACCCAAACTCTCCTTGTCCACGATATTAATGTAAAACGACTCGAAGATTATAAAAGTTACAAAATGTACTTAAAAATAAATACATTTATAGTGCTGCAGTTTGTGGTTATATAGGCTTTCGTGGCCACAAACTCATTCAATTAATTTTTCTTCATCACACATCATGTCGCGAGCGCAGTTGGTTCGCTTGTGACCAAGGAACATACTCTCTTGAGAGTGGACACTCGAAACGTCCGCGGACGCGTCCCGTGCCCCGTTCACACTGTCCGCGGACGCACCAAATATTCAGCCGGCCAGATTCTGTTTGGACGTCCGAACGTTCAAGAGCGACGCAAGGTCATGTCCGCTTCTTACGGCCGTTCGTTTGCACAGTGTAGTATTAAATGTACTGCCTAGATTTCAATAAGCAGCGGCTGTCAGCCGCGTCCGATAAGAGCGAGGTCCCATTAGTGTCATCGCAACGGAACAACGCATTGTATGCCACACCTGTGTTGCGTTGACGCTGCGCCAACGCACCGCAAGAGGGTATGCACGCCGACACAGCTGCGTCTCAGTTCAGCCTTTGCAATGGACAGATACAAACGTGTTCTTTTGTTGCTTTTATTACGGCACCGCCGAAATAAACGTAGAAATCATAGAAGATTCTGGATATCTCCTTTGACAGCATTAAGAAATAGTGATGGTTAGTTTTTATGCAGGAATATACGGAGTTGTTATTAGATGAAAAGACTTTTTTCAATTTTTTTAGAATGAGTGTGGCCAGCTTTAATAATTTGCTTGAAACCTTAAAACCACATATAAAAAAGCCAAGTATACCAAATTCAGGAACCCTTTAGAACCAATTGAAATGATTGGTATTACATTGAGGTAAGTAATTCAAATATCATAATACTCGTAATTTTAATCAGTTATTAATTTATTATCTTTAAAAACAGTTTAATTTAAGTATTACTATTAGGCAACATAGCAAAGTTATAATCTTCTTCTTGACTATCATCAGTAAAATTATTAATCGTAGTGTTGGTTGAGTAGGTAGCTTCGAATTCATCTGTTCGATACGACGATGGCGATGGTGACTAGGCATGTTGTCCAGTTTGATATCCGCGTGACTGCAATGGTGTTGCTTGATACTGTTGTCCAGTTTGATATCCGCGTGACTGCCATGTTGTTGATTGAGTCCGTTCCCCGAACCGAATTTCGGTAATGATATTTATAACTTTGCTTTGGAATGTCAAAGTTTGTAATTCCGTAAAGCTGTCCAAAGAAGGCAAAATTCCTTTGAAAAATGATAAGTGGCGGTTTTCTTTCGCCTCGAAATCATCTATTGCTTGGTTTGATCTCTTACGGCTTGCAGGCACGTAGCGAGAAGGACCTGGGGTAACGAGGACATTTCTTTTGTAGGAAATGGAGAAGATGATGCTGTGTTTTCATTTCGTTCCGTTTCTTCAGACACCATTTCAAGGCTACTGTCAGTTTTATTTTGGGCAACTTTCATCAAAAACAGCAACTGATTGTAATAATGATATTTTTTCAATTGTTTTGCCCCTGATCCAGACGAACTGTTTTCTTTTATTTTTTTTACGTATCGAAAAAAGTTGTCCTTCACGCTTCTCCATTTTTTCACAACCTCGTTACCTGCAAAGAAAAAAAAATGTGTAAGTACCTAACTTGTCCACACTGACCAATCTAAATGGGCCACCCTGTTTATTTTTTGTGTTTCTATTTCAGGTACTTAGGCAGCGGAAATTCGATAAACGACTTGCATTTCAAATTTAAACGTGGAAGAGCAACAATTTCTAGAAATATTTCGTCAGTTTGTCAAGCTATATGGAAATATGTTCGACCATAGTACATAGAAGAGATCACAGTAGAAAAACTACAAAATATTGCATTAGATTTTGATCTTAAAGCTAACTTTCCTCATTGCTTCGGGGCAATTGATGGGAAACATATACGTTTAATAAAACCAGACAAAAGTGGCTCTCTGTTTTATAATTGTAAAAATTATTTTTCAATTGTTTTGCTGGCGGTTGTTGACTCAAATTATAAGTTTGTTTTTGTCGACGTGGGTGCATATGGCAAGGAAAGCGATTCTACTATTTTTAGAAATTCGACACTGCACAAGATTTTAATGAGAAATGAATTACCATTGCCTGATCCTCAACCACTTGGAAATGATCATAATAACGAGCCACCAATTCCTTATGTACTCGTCGGTGATGAAGCTTTTGGTTTAAGTAAGCATGTTATGCGCCCATACGGCGGATCCAATCTCAATGTGAAACATAGAGTTTATAATTATCGCCTTAGCAGAGCTCGTAGATACGTGGAATGTGCATTTGGGATCATGGCAAATAAATGGCGCATTTTATATTGATACGTCATATACATATATATATGATTTAACTATTAATATTGCGAAAGCATGTTGTGTTTTACACAATTTTGTTATACAACACGATGGGTTAAAACAACAAGACAATATGGCAATAAGTAGGTTCCCACAATTGAGACTATCATTAGCCGAAAATTTTATCAGAGATCAATTTGCTAATTACTTTATGAGTCCAGAAGGGGCTTTACCATGGCAGTTGAAAAAGATATAAATTAACTTATGTATTGAATTTACAAATAATATAATAAATAACAACTCACCAATCTTGTTCTTTTTTTGATCCTCAAACTCCTCGTAATCTTGAAATATTTTTTTACAAACAGCTACCTATTCATTCGCTTTACAAAATTTATCACTGTAATGTTCGTGTGATTTATCCCATATAATGGGTCTTTTTTGGACCAAGGATATGAGTAAATCTATATCAATATCCTGCTCACTCATGGTAAGATAAAAAATGTCGTTACGCTCGTCTAGCTTCCTCCTCTAGCAGTGCACTGTCCGTCGTCGCAGCGGAGCTCCGACAACGCAGCGCATCACCCTCCCTCCCGCTTCGTCTCTTGTCCGTCGATCCGTTGAAACGTCGCGCGCGACGACGCAACGGTCTAATGGGGCATGTCATAAAAAATGTATGGAAAACGACGCAGCGACGACGCAACGCAGCGCAACGCACTAATGGGGCCTCGCTCTAACGGGGGTTAATATAGCGCATAGCGGCATATTATAGCGCGCTATCTCTCCATAACACATAGCGCGTGTTACGTAAGTAGTCGCCATGGTGCTATTGCGCTATGACGCTTTGGCGCTGTTAAAGCTGAGAACAAATTATCTGACGCGTCCGTCAGCCGCGTCTACAGCCGCGGCTATTCCGTACATTTAATACTACACTGTGCAAACTATCGGTCTTAAGACGCGGACATGATCTTACGTTGCTCTTGAGCGTTCGGACATCCGAACAGAATCTAGCCGGCTGGATGTTTGTGCGTCCGCGGACAGTGTGAACGGGGCACGGGACGTGTCCTCGGACGTTTCGAGTGATCGAATGTCACAAGCGAACCAACTGCGCTAGCGACATGATGTGTGATGAAGAAAAATTAATTAAATGTGTTCGTGGCCACGAATGCCTATATAACCACAAACTGCAGCACTATAAATGTATTTATTCTTAAGTAAATTTTGTAAAGTTTATCATCTTTTGTAAATCTGGACACAATGTATGAAATTCACCATACTCGAGTCGTTTTAGATTAATATCATGGACAAGGAGTGTTTGGGTCCTCTTTTTTAGAGGACGACATAAAGCAGCTGCCGCTAATTTTATAAATTCGTCCTCGCTGTCACTGTTTGTCATGTTTCTCGATTGACAAAACCTTTCTGGAATGACCGAAGCGAGGCGTCTGAGGAAGCTGTCTCAGCTACCGTGCACACCGCTAAGCCGCGTCTGTCAGCCGCGGCTGGCGGACGCGTCCGATAATTTGTTCTCAGCTTAAGTATAATATCTACCGGCAACTATTTCTAGCAGTAGCGCTGTTGGGAGAGGACGTGTGACTCAAATTTGATCTAGTAGCACGCTATTCATCGCGCGCGACTTAATTTAGTGTAAGATGTTGTTTAGTTTGTGTTAGATACAAAAGTGTATATAATAGTGTGTGTAAATAGTTGATTTTTACAAATACAATCAATAAACTTTTAAATACACCTTAATTTGATTTATAATTTATTTTAATAGGTTAAAATAACATTTACATCAATTAAATAAAAAATAATTAATTTTATTTCGTTTTAAAAAGCACATGCTTTAAAAATATTTTTAGGATTATAGAAAGTCGTAAGCCTGAAAAGTATGATAAATAATGTTCTTATATAGCACGCGGTCTATCCAATAAACGACATGTAATGTAACGTGCTACGAGATATAGCGTAACAAAACCTAACGGGCTTGCCGGCCTCCTATACGCTTTCTTATAAATAGCGCGCTATAACATAGCGTATTTAATAGCGCGCTAGAAATTTATAGTTTATAGTTTGTAGCGTGCTATTGATTTATAGTAGTTTTGAACAACTTTAGATTTCTCGCTCACCACCGCAGTCTACTTCGCAGCCGCTGAATATTGCCGTTTCAACCTCTAGCGCTACTAGCGCTACCAAGACCTCCATTTCGATGGCGGCCATCAACTTTACATCGCAAACACTATGCCATTCAGATCCAAATATATATTCTGATTCCGATAGCCAACCGAACATAACTTACAGTACCAAAAGGAAGTGTGAAGATGAATTCAATACATTTAAAATTGATGTTAATAGAATGTTAAAGGAACTTATTCGAGAACAATAGCAGTACTTTCTAAATTTAAATGAAAAAATGGAGGAGATAAAGACGCAAAATGAAATCTTAAAACAGGCCGTGGATTTTAACTCAACATTATACGATACCTTTCTAAAAAAAATAGAAACTCTAGAGCAAGAAAAAAAAGACGATCGAAAGCAAATACAACTCTTAGGAGAAAAAGTGGAAACATTAGAGAGGCAACTCCGATCATCGAGTGTCGAAATCAGAAATGAACCCCAAAAATGAATGAAACAAAGCAAGATTTAATTAAGACCATAGTAAAATTGGGTGAAACCATAAATGCTTCCATTCAACCGTCAGATATAAAAGACGTGTTTCGTGTCCATTCTAAAACACAAAAAACAATAATTTCTGAATTTACGACAGTGTTAACAAAGGAATTTTTTTTACAATCAAATAAAACGTTCAACAAAAAAGGCAGTGCCGCGAAATTGAACACCCTCCAGCTAAATATCGATGGGCCAAAACTACCAATATATATTTCAGAAAACCTCACCCCCAAAGCCAAGCGTCTATTCTTCCTAGTCAGAGAGCTCTCAGTACTTCATCAATATAAGTATTGCTGGACGTCTTTCGGGAAAGTTTTCCTTCGCAAAGAAGATGGATCTCCAATAATTCGTATCACCTCAGAAGTTGACCTTGTAACACTTAAAAAGGAAAAGTGACTAGTTGGCACTTCATTTTTCAAGTAGTATATAATTTAAACATAGGTTATACTAACTCGTTATGACAAAAATTTAAATGTAACTACTATAACCACTCACACTCCAATTTAACACACGTCAGTCATACTACACTCCATTCTTACTCATTCTTAACAATTATACAATCACACAACACTCATACAACATTCCATCACTTTTCATTCATACTACACACCAAGCTACACTACACAATAAACCCAACACGACGCACACGTAAAGGGGTAAAATCAGTCAAATATTCATTGAATATTAGTTATATAAGCTTCTGTTATCAGTTTGATCCTATGTTAATATTGAATAAGTATCATTATTTTTACACATTCCACAATTAAGGCTTTGTTTCTTTAAGTAGCATGTACGTTTCAAGGAGTATGTTCTTAAATAAATACCGGCCAAGGCACGACAAATGAAGATGTCTCTAATAGCATTGATTCGTATTGTCCGGCTAGTACGTGCATCTGCAGTGTTGAGGAAGTTAAAAATTGCCTACCTCATAACAACCACTTAATAGTTTTATCTCAAAATATCCGAAGTGTTTTTCGTAACATAAATCGAATAGAAGTATTATTAGTAAATCTTAACTTTAACGTCGATATAATAGTAGTTACGGAGTGTTGGTTGAAAGGTAACTAGGATCCACCGGCTCTTAAGCACTATAAATGTTATCATACCTTAAAATAGTACTCAAAACGAAGGAGTTGTAATATACGTCAAAGACTCAATTACTAGTGAACCCTACGGGAGCATTCATCGACCGCTGGTGTGAGGTGAGTCGAAAGGGCGCTAATTGCCCTATCGGCCTCCTCTAGCGAGTCGTATCGTAGTCGTAGTATCTTGTCAGGTATAGTGTCCAAATGCTGGGAGTTCGTAGACTTAAGTTTGACCTCAAGTTTATGCCAGTCGACAATAGTTTTGGTCTGAGGGACCTCACCTGCCGACCGGCCCAGTTGTAAAACGACCGGCCTGTAGTCTGAGACTAGTTCGATTATAACCTCTATCGAATTAATAGTAACTCTGAGAAGCTTCTCTCAGCGGAAGCTGTACTGACGGGAACTGTGAGCATGATTCTAATTGCTATAAAAACATTTGGATATATTTCTTCCAAATTATTCTCTAAAATGTATTGAATGAGTTGTTTCGCGCGTTGATAGAGTCTAGTGAATTTTTTAAAGTTGGAGTTCTTCATACAGTTCGAAAGGCTGTATGTCGCTGTTTTCGCCTTCTCGAAGTATTGTACCTAAATCATTACAGCACTTGAGGAGGTCTTCTTTTGATATAGAATTTAAAACATCTGATATCATAAATAAAACTAAATCGTTCAAAATATTCATTGAGCACTTTAAATCGACATTCGGTATCAACTATAATAGCATCAATCATTGTGTTAAAAAGTTAACTCTGTACTGCATTTCAGAAGATTGAATAGGTATGTTCATAATCGAACATTAGTTTTCTCCTGGCTGTTCTTTTTTCTTTAAATTGAGTCTCAATTTCGAAAGTACTTTTCCCTACAAATAATCAAGCTTGTGCGACACTATTGTCAAATCCTGTATTACGGAATTCTTGAATACAGCTGCAAAATGACCGTAAAGTATCAATAGCGACTTTCAAGTTGACTTGAACTATTTGCCATAGTTTGCTTATATTGTTCACACGTAGTAAAACCTCGTACCATACGTGTATCGCAACAACAAACTCAAAAGTTAACATCAAGACTGCGTCACAGTCGCTTAGAGTTTCAGAATCATCACTTTTATTTTTCAGGTCATTCACACATTCGATAACATCATCAAATTGCAAAAATGTTGCTTTTACTGCTCCGATTCTACTCTCCCATCGTGTTTCAGACAGAGTTTTTAATGTCAATTTTAATTTTGTTTTCACAATATTCCAACGCTTACTTGACTTTGAAAACAGCGCATAGATTTTATTGATGAAACCAAAAAACGTTTTGGTTATTGTAGAAGAGTTAGCTGCATCCATCAAAAGCAAATTCCAGTTGTGACATCCGCACGGCGTAAAGAATGCTCTTGGGTTTATATTAAGTATTCTTGTTCTGATACCTTTATGAATACCGACCATATTGGCGCCTTTGTCATATCCCTGTCCTCGACAGTTTTGGATATCTAGACCATTTCTTTCCAGTTCTTGTAGTATGGAATTTGTTAAATATTCTCCTGTTGTTTCTGTGACTGCAATAAACCCAACAAAATGTTCCTCTATTACTCCAGTTGAAGAATTGCAAAATCTTAACATTATTGACATTTGTTCAACGTGGCTGACATCCCTGGTACATTCGAGCAAGATGGCATAGTATTTTGCTTGTTTAACTCTGTGTATGATTTCTGCAATAACTGATTTAGATATTGCAATTAATTCATTTTGGACGTCGTGGCTCAGTAATGTTGAGTTAGTTGCTTTTCATTAATACGTTCATGGATCCGTTGTCTGATCATATTTGGATAACAACTTAAAGAAATCTATAAAATTGCCACTGTTTTTGCTATCGTTCAATTTAAAGGATTCTCGATGAGCTCTAAATGCCAAATTGTGTGACGCTAAGTAGTTTATGATATCAATAATTCTTTCAAACAAATTATACCAGTACTTTTGCGATTCTTTAATAGATCTCTCATTATCTTTATCTATTGCTTTTCCATGTTTGATTCCTTTATAGAATTCCATCCATTTAATCATGCATACCATGTGTCCTTGACTTTGTTCATTTTTGTGTTTGCAATAACCGACTCAAATCTTTCCAGTCACAACATCCTTCGTTTACCATCTGTGTCTGCAAATTTGAAAAAAGTCTACATGGAAAGCAATAAACTTTATCTTGAAAATGGAGTAAACTAACAATCGGCGATGTTGCGTTTCGCCGTTACTTAATTTTCAAGTGAAATGAAATTTAGAAAAATGTCTTTTATTTTCGCCTTTTGGGTAACTGTCATCAGATTTCTCTAGATCTTGATTGGATCCGTTTTGAATTAGGTCATGACGCTGCGAATCGTTTACTGGAAATATCCACTTTCCTGGATCTAAGTCTATAAATGACTCTCTTAAATGAACTCCTTCCACTTGATTTTCTGAGTCACACAACGTTTTACTTTGTAACTCTATATTGGGTTCCGACATTTGGATCATAGTAGGTTCGCTCGATGTTGCAGGTAAAACTATATCAGAACTTCCAAAAAAAGATTCATTTGACTCTGATACTGGCTCAGAAACTAAAGTTTCATCAGATGACTCTGAAGCAGTGACACTCGACACACTTAGAGCTTGGTTGGATACAACAGCTTCAACCTTTCTTTTTCTTTTTAATGCTCCGGATTCCCATTTTCTCCCTTTATCTTTGTCTCTACTTGGTCCTCCAGACATGAAGACCTAAAAATAAAAAAATAAAAACATTGAAATTAAATAATTATTTAATTCGATACCAACTTTTAAAATAGGCCCAGTATCGTTAAAGTTAATAATAATGCGATACAAGATCTATCGATCTGTAGTTCGATGTTTTTTGTGCAGCAGATTATAAAAAAACTATAGATACGTACGCCAATGCTTTTAATAGAAAACTGATTAAAATTATTTATTTACGTTATTTTGTACTCAAACAACACTAGATTCTAATGCCAAAGTATAAAGACGGCAAGTAAGTTATCTTCATACAACCGAACCGCGCGCGGCTTATATGTATGCGCCGTACCTATGCGTCGCCGAACGCACACTTAACAAAATTTTGACTCAATTCGAGGAGCGCCAGTCGGGACTAACATTGCACGAGATTCGCGCGGATCGCGCGTCACGGCTTTTCAGCACCGCTAAATGAATGAAAAATGTGTGATAATCTCAAGAGAACGTATTGTATAATTCAATACACACTTTTGCATTATTTGTGTTTGTATTAATTAAAAATAAATACTTAATGGTCATTTATGTGTAAAAAAAACCACATTATTGGCGATAAAAAAAACAAAAAACCGATTAGTATACAACGTGTAACATAATTAACGCTAACCTCTCATGGATATAAATACAACTTCCTGACCCTTACCAATTTATAGGCACTGATTTAAAATATAGCTAATAGTCAAAACCCTAAGACAGTAGGCAATTGTATCGCGGATTGGGCCGGAGATAGCCTACTTCCCCTCTTAATACTATGCTAGTGCGGAGTTCTTTTAATACAAAGTAATCTAGATCTAGGCGCAACAATAGAAAAACTCGATAAAATAATAAAAAAAATTTGAAAATTTTGAGGCTAATATTTTTATAAGCACGTGCTTGCTTATAAACATACTCGAACAGCTAAAGATTTTAGTTCTCGAAAAAAAAAAAACACTAGCACAGTTTGAATTTAAAAACTACAAAAATTATCCACTTTTTATAATTTCGATAGTCATAAGGAAATACATTGCAATTAAGACTTATAAAAGATAGGAACCTGTTTATACCTATTGATGTTGACAAATACTTTACGTTAAAGTTGTTATAAAAGTTCATATTGACTTACCTTATCTTATAACCTTCGAAGTATCAACGAAATCACAATATAAATTAACACTTTTATCCACTAAATTATCACCGGGGTACTGACTGACTTTACAACACAATAAAAAGAAATTTTGTCCATGCCAGTCTAGTCTGCGAGTGTTGCGTTGCATTCACAAAAAAATTATTGTTTACATTTCGCTCGCAGAAGAAATACAAAAACGACACGGGTATTCCCCGTCTCGCGCACGAAGTTGTTAAACTTTCATAGTGTTGCCAGACGATTCTGTCCGTAAAGTGCTCATCGCAAAAAACGAGAAACACACTCACTTAAATCGCGCAAGTGTATGATATTAAAATAAATAATAATGATTAACTAAATTTTAAATAATAAAAAAGTTTTGCGAGGCCCCCTCAAGCGCAAGGCCGTCGGCGGTCGCCAACGTCATCGACGCCTAGCGCCGCCACTGTACGTCGGACAAATCATCACGCGTCGACCGTTCAACGGTCAAAACATTCATCCATAAATTCACCATGGATGTTAGAGAACAGGAGTACGATCGTTACGTACTAAAGCATAGCCGTGGCTGCGAGGTTAGCTGTTTATGAGTACAAATAGATAAAGTTGAATAATGTACAAATTTTCTTCGCGACATTGGCGAGAAAATTTACATGCTCCGTAAATTTTTAATTTTTTTACGAAAGGATACATTAAAAAATTGAGAAATATTATATTTTGCGTGGATGTGTAAGTGGTTTAGCATCTGATCGGAAAAATAGACTGCAAATGACTTTATTGAGCGAACTTAGCGATCGCAGCGCCTCACTTATGGTGTCTATATTTCTGGGGACACTATTTTCTACGGCGATCGTTCTCCTGTTCTCTAACCTCTATGATCCCGACTATGTGTCAAATATCTATTGTCAGTAACTGTCATCCATTGCGGCGTTTCAATTCCCGCCATTTTTTAAAATATAAAGTATTTATTACTATTATACCATAGATAAATAAATATGTAGCAAGCTACTATTATACTTCGCTTTTAGCACTAATGTTATAATAATATATAAATTAAGATGAGAACAACATGTTTGTTATATTTTATTGTATAAACCCATAACATTATATATTTAAAGAAAACACGAAATTAAGTAAATTATTTCTCCCGGGCCGTAAATACAAGCCGCAATGGCTGCAACATTTAATAAATTACACTATTTAGAAAGATACTGTTAAGGGGTTAAGAACGGCCAGGTAACAAATTTGTCGTGCAACTGAAATTCACAGTCTCGATACAGACAGACAGACTGATTTTAGAAAAAAAAGTGTTAGTTTGATTTAAATTTGCGACTCTTACAACTTCATCTGACTCAGGAGGGAGTACGGACCCCCGTCTCTGAATGCTCAGCTCGTGTCGGTCGATGGTCTGGGCGGTGAGAGCCGACCAGGAACGTGGGTGTACGGTGTGTGCTGGAACGCGTCGTGCCCGTCTACGGGTGCGACGCGCCCCATTCGTAATCCTAAAAGTGTTTGTCCCATTTAGTGTTGGTGTAGTGACATTGTGTGATGTGCCTGCCACGTTTGGGTCGACTGGATCGAGCGGTTGTGGTGGTTCTAATAATACATTTCGCGGTCTGCGGAGATAGGGCGCGATGTTTGCTATCGAAACGTTTCTGAAATTCACAGATATGACACCGTCAATATATACGACGTCCAAGAGCTACGCCTACTCGCAGGTAGTCCATCTGGGCATCACCCATTGGGTGATGCCCAGATGGACTACCTACGGCCCCCAACCATTACATCAGATTTGATAGACCACAAATCCTCGCGAAAGAACACCGATTCCTACCAAGGATGATACGCGAGGCTGGGTACTACCACCTGCTTGGAATCCTATAAGCAATAAAATTAAAACTAAACCTAAGCATACCACTGCAAGACCTCAGGACATAGTCAGTTCATTTTGCATAGATCGGACCATAAACAATAATTAAAAAAAAGCTGAAGGTACTCCGGGTTGAACAATGACATCGGGACGTCAGTCATCTCAGTCCCCCGTGACCATGGGTGCTGGAAAGCGCCCGAAACGTCGGGAATTAAAAATAATAGTAAAATAAACGCGATAAAATCCGTAAAAGTAGTTTTAATCAATGTGTAGTGTTCGCGTAAATATAAGAAATCATTAATTCATGCTTTTCCTTACATAATTTTCTATATTAATTTTAGTTTTAATTAACTTTTGCACTTTCCTAACATATTTGTTAATTTTTATATATTTCTTTAATTTTCTTCTACTGCATGTAATCCTTTCTGCTGTTCTTGATGTGACAAAATCATCACCAGTCAAATCGATTGTTGTGGAGGGATGCAATGTTTTTGAAGATTTACATTCTATGAGCTCATTGAACAGACTTTGAGTTTGGAACACTTTCAATTCATCTGAGTATTGTTTTAATTGCACAATCTGCTCATTATCCTCACTTAACTGCAACTGCAATGCAGCAATTAATCTGAGGGATTCCTCATATTCCTTGCTGCATCGGTCAAACTCATCGACTGTTCCCTGAAGCTGATCCCTTTCTTTTAAAACATTTGTGTAGTCCTTATGAACAGCAAGAAGAAGCGAGCTACGGCGTTGAAGAAACGGCTTCAAAAATGGCCGACGGATACAATGCAGCAATTAATCTGAGGGATTCCTCATATTCCTTGCTGCATCGGTCAAACTCATCGACTGTTCCCTGAAGCTGATCCCTTTCTTTTAAAACATTTGTGTAGTCTTCATGAACAGCAAGAAGAAGCGAGCTACGGCGTTGAAGAAACGGCTTCAAAAATGGCCGACGGATACATGACGATAGCGGCGTGTGAAGACGATGTGGCGCTGAATGATATTTGCGGCTGTTTCTAGTTTCTTTATTAGAACGTCAAATTATCTCGCATCGATATGCAGCCCGCAGTATCTCAGTAGCCGGGGATAATTAAAAAATAAATGTTTTCTTCGCCTTCTGTGTTATGGTAGCAGCAGGGTATATATTACTTAGGGTTGATTAGCCTGGCTGCTACAATAATTTAATAAAGAACACAATGGTATGTTTATGCCATTAAAACTGAAAGAAATTACTTTTGTATCTACATTCTTAAATTCGATAATGTAAAATTTTAATGCCTTGCCACGATTAAAAAAAAGAAAAACCATTTAAAATATATGTTTATTATTTTATCAAATATACAAATATGTTAATTAATATTTAAAAAAAAACATCAAAATAAGTGTCACTACAGTGACAATTAGCACAAGATTAAACAGTAATATAAAATGTTTCCAAAATGAATTTTATTACAGTATGGTTTACACATATTATATCATTTTAAATGTTAAAAAGTAATTTTCGTTTACAGATATATAGTAACAATAAAACGTTAATAAATATATATAAAAAGTAATAAAACGTACATTTTCACTTACATTGTATGTATATATAGCAATAAAAAAATGCTTAATTCTATGATAGCTTCACATAAACGCCAATGTGAGTTCGAATGTTATTTAATTTCGCATCAATTGCGCAAACACATCTATGTTTATGCAATTTTGTTGTAAACCAATATTATAGGAATTGTTACTAATACGCGTTTATGTATGACAGCCTTTAAAATTAAGCATTGGTTTGCTTGGCAGCGGTCAAAATTTCTCTGGAAATTATAAGTCTCTGGATTTGAGAAGTGCCCTCGTAGATCTGGTAGATTTTGGCATCTCTCATGAGCTTCTCAACTGGATACTCTGTGTTGAAGCCGTTGCCACCAAAAATCTGCACGGCATCAGAGGCGGCTTTGTTAGCGATTTCCGACGCATGGCATTTAGCCACTGATGCCATCACAGTGTTCT